TAACCAGTACAATTTGATCCCTCGAGATGCTGCCGATGGTAGAATCAATCACGTTGTTTGTGCGTAAAGATTGGTCTGTTTTAGTTTCCTATGCTACTGGTATTATCGTGGCGTGCTTAGTGGGACACACACACAGTGGTGTATTTGAGCTAGGATAGTCGTTTCATGGCATCGTCGAATGCCATTGACAGGCTATTTCGATACTGAATGCATCTAGATAGAGTTACAGACAGGGGATCGGTATTGTTTAGTCTGTTTAGGAGCTTACAGGAGTTAGTATTGTAGGGAAGTTTGAAATGACATTAAATAGGTATGGTTTAAAAAAATGCGAACGTGTACAGTGCTCATTGATTTTTAAGCTGCTGAAACGGGTGCGGACAATGTGCGTCGAGGAATATTCAGCAGAGAATATGCATCGCGGAATTTTTGGCGTCAGGAAATGTCACACGCGTGACAATCTATCTGTCCTTGTCACACTTGGGCGAATTTCATATTTTCATCCTTTTTTTAACATGACGTCTGATCTTCATTTGTCATTTGACGCCAAATACTTACTGCACATTCCGCGATGCATATTCTCTGCTGAATATTCCTCGACGCACATTGTCCGCACCCGCTGAAACTATAATTTAATGTAATAAAATGATTCTTGTGGCAGACGACTCTTATGCGAATTGCCACCAAGACACTCAAGGAATCGATGCCTCCAGATTAGCATCAGAGGACTCACAGAATCTCCTGATTTCTGACCCTGTCTAAAATCTTAAAAGTTTTCATATCGCATTTAAGAAGGCATTTTCTGCCTGTCCGCACTTTCTAATGAAACAATAATTATAAATACTCTTACTCTCACCTTCCGATAACCACTCTCAATCTAAATGTTTGTGTTAGTAATAGTAGGTAGGTATGTAATATTATTAGTTTTACTTCAGCTCGTCATGCTTCGTTGTGATTGTGACGTGAATTCTGGGTCACAACGTGTATTTGTGCTAGGTTAGCCATTTCATGGCTGCATGCTGGTTTCATACTTTTGACAGGTTATTTATGCCAAAACCAGAACGAGTTATCGTCAAGATAACCACTTGACTGATGCCTAGCAGATTCGCTTCAGAAGGTCATCAGGACGGACGCCCTCTTTTGGTACTGAACAGACATCATGGGCGTTACCTAAAAAGTGAGTGTTGTACATTTTCTACTCTGAAACTGCAGGCGATAAGTAACAATCAGCACAAAATAAACACTAGCCTATCGATAGTGAGTCTCACTGTTTGTGTGTAATATTATTAGTTTTACTTCAGCTCGTCATGCTTCGTTGTGATTGTGACGTGAATTCTGGGTCACAACGTGTATTTGTGCTAGGTTTAGTCATTTCATGGCTGCATGCTGGTTTAGTGCTTTTGACAGGTAATTTTGCCACTGCTTATAGTCTAAGCGGGTACGGTCAAATATCACCCGGAAGCTGTTTTGCCGGCACAGTTGATGCCTCTTTGCTCAGTGATACTAGGGACCATTGTGAATGATTCCATCCGAGGAAATGAAAAATCCATCCACTGGATTTCAAGATGGCGGACCTTCGTTTTTTTGTATGTAACTAAAAAAATAATTCTTCTGGAGCCCATCGTGTGGGGTATCAAATGAATGGGCTAGACGAGACGATTTCAAAAATATATCGTTTTACTACATTTCAGTTGCCCTCTTAGAAAAAAATCAAGTTATATTTTTAAAAGCAGTCAAAACATGCCAAGTTTGAGGTCCAATAGATACAAAATGGCTGACATATAGTTTCTTAAAAGTATGCTAAATGATCCACTATATCCTTAACTCTAACCTGACGAAAGGAATTTCGAAAATAATAAGATTTAATGTATATTTTGCAATGGAAAGTAGATCATTGGGTACTGCAGTAGGTTAGTAAGAACTGCTTGTGCGCCTCCATAAATGTTTAAGATGCAATTCTTCTCATGATTGCTTTTACACTTAAAGCTAGATTATGATGTGCCGGATCATTTTGAAGCTGCGGGCACGGTTGTGCCCCTGCCAAGTCGAGTAAAAAGCGAATTTGCCATAGGTACCATGTTGCTCTACTCATGAATGCTATCTCACTTTAGTAGGCCTGCTGTAAGAAAATTTCTTGTTAGAAATAAGTAGTGCCTGCTGTGTCTTTTTTATTTTTGTATTTGCCCTGTATTTTTTACTGTGTACAATAAATGATTAAATTAAATAAAAATGTTTCTCTCGAAACAATTCAGGCCAATTTCGACACCGAACAACGATATTTTGGATAACATTTGAAACCTGTGTTTCAAGGACCCAAACATTGAATATTTCAAAAATTAATTTAATTCCCTTAAATCTGTTACTCATTCGACCAACCGACACCAATATGAGATACCTACTATCAAAACACAACTCAAAAAAAGCAAGTCTCACCACTCATTACATCTACCACAAAAAATGAGAGTTTTCGTACATAAAATATTGACTTAGAGTACGGTCGTTCCAATAGGCCATATTTGACAGCCCATACTAAAATACACATCATCAAAGAAAAATAACCTTATATCTCAAAGTTGTCAAAAATGGCCTATTTGAGCGACCGTAATTAAATAATTGCAAAAACAAATAATCAGAAACTTAATACTTGCAAGATATATTTTGTTAAAGACAGCCAAGTCCGCCATTCCACCAGAAAAGTTGTGCAATCTACGAGTCCACGACGTCATTGGTACAAAATAACTGTAGCATCATTGTATTTTATATTTATACACTAACATGATTCTTCGATTAAAACTGAAATGAATGCTGTTTCGCTGTAAATTTAAAAATGGTAATCTTGTGTATCTATCTACACAGAATCACATAGTGTTTTTTTTTAAATATTATTAAACTTAACACTTAAGTATTTTACTCCATTTAGAGCATTCTATATCTGCTAAATGAAATTATCTATTTAATTTTTATCCAACATATCGTTAAAAAGGTCTCAACTTTGGCGGAAACTTATGGTACAGCAAAGTCGCTTTTTACCCGACTTGGCGGGGGCACAGCCGTGCCCGCAGATTCAAAATGATCCGGCATATCATAATCTAGCTTTAAGTGTAAAAGCAATCATGAGAAGAATTGCATCTTAAACATTTATGGAGGCGCACAAGCAGTTCTTTCTAACCTACTGCAATTCCCAATGATCTACTTTGCATTGCAAAATATACATTAAATCTTATTATTTTCGAAATTCCTTTCGTCAGGTTAGAGTTCAGGATATGGTGGATCATTTGGCATACTTTAGAGAAACTATATGTCAGCCGTTTTGTACCTACTGGACCTCAAACTTGGCATGTTTTGACTACTTTTAAAAATGTAACTTGATTTTTTTCTAAGGGGGCAACTGAAATTTAGTAAAACGATATATTTTTAAAATTGTCTCGTCTAGCCCTTTCATTTGATACCCCACACGATGGGTTCAAGAAGAATTATTTTTTTAGTGCCATACAAAAAAACGAAGGTCCGCCATCTTGAAATCCAGTGGATGGATTTTTCATTTCCTCGGATGGAATCATTCACAATGGTCCCTAGTATCACTGAGCAAAGCGGCATCAACTGTGCCGGCAAAACAGTATTTTTTTGCTAAGGACCATGACTATTATGCCAAAACCAGAAGGAGTTATCGACAAGACACGCAATAGACTGATGCCTAGCAGGGGACGGAAGATGCTCGAAGCCTAGCAGATTCGCATCAGAAGTTCATCAGGACGTGGCCTCTTTTGGTACAGCCCAGACATCATAGGTTTTACCAAAAGAGTGAGTGTTTACATTTTCTTCGCTGAAACTGCAGGCAATAAGTAACAATTAGCACAAAATACTAAACACTAGCCTATCCTATATATAGAAACACAGTTCACATGGAGGAATATAATTTTGTTGTCAAATTACTTATGTGTTTTTCAAGGCAAGCTTAAGGTAGGTCAGTATATTTTAGTCTTTCAAATATTATTATTTTTTTAACCTAGACACAGTAGGAAATTGCTCAAACGACAAGTGCATAGCTCCTTAATTAATAAAACCTGCTAGGTATTGAATTAATTAATTGCAGCATACTCTACATTTAATATTGCCGTGGATACAATACAAAGAAGACACTCTACACGTCTTTTACAACAAGAATTGGTTACCCTCGTCAAAACACCTAAACCGTTTAGTATTTGTATGCAAGATAATACTCAAACACTAACTGTTAGCCTTATTCAGTTGCATTGTCATGATTCCACGTTCTGGGTCATTGTAGTAGTTGTAGTTTGTACGATACGGTATGCCAGTGCACAATCATAAAGCACCTTCTGGCTTTGTATTAGAGGATAGTTTCGGACTAAGTGCATTTGTGTGGAAGAGTGTAGCATTGGTGCCTAGTTGTACAATACTGACGCCGCTGCTTATCAATTGCCATACAGCACCTTCTGGCTTTGTATTAGCGGATAGATTCGAACTAAGGGGTGCATTTACGTACAAGAGTGTATCATTGGATTGGAGCCTAGTTACGATACGGTACGCCACTACGTAACCATGCACCGTCTGGCTTTGTATAAGAGAACAGTACTGTATTTGTGACTGTACTTGTGTAGAAGACTGTACCATTGGTGCTCGCTCGACTGTGCCTTTTGGAAGGCCAGCCCGAACTTGGTAGGATTGTTGGAGCAAATATGGAGCATAGGCATTTGTACCGTTATGCAATGAAGGCACGGTCCATGATAGCTTTGTTTTCGTGGCGCAGTGGTGGAATATCCGGTCGAAGTAAACAGAACAGAAAGTGAAAGAGATGTTTTCGTATATCTCTCGTGTTCATCTCATTTCTTCATAAAAGCTTTTGGTGGTAGAGTAGGTTCTAACCTTGTAGTAACCATGTATCTAACCATGTAGTAAGTTATAAATACTTTCTACAGATGTCGCTGGATCGTCGCTTGGAGACGAGCATCAAGAGATTGAAAATTTGGCATTCATCAACCGGTACATCGATAGCTCAGTGGCAGAACGGTGGGGCGTTTACCCATGCGGCCCGGGTTCGATTCCCGGTCGATGTATGATATTTTTTTCTATTTCTTATTTTCACTTGTGAGGTAGGTATCTATTTGTGACGTTATAAACAGGTTAATTTACCTTATTTCGTGCAAACGAAGCTTGTAATGTAAATAATTATTGATTTTCTGTTAATTCAATCGAATACCTACTTAATTAACCGTAATATCACCCAAAAATTGTATTTTCGCACAGTAAACAAACAGTATTTACCTGGTAACAAGGTACTTATTCAATTTAATATGCAAAATCGGTTCATTAACTCATTTTACGTTTTATGCTTGTCTATTTATAGACCAAACATATAGCTAAGCTAGCTAAGCACATAGGTTTGAAGTTTTAGCGCTATCTATGTATGTTATGTATGTAATATATTATGTAGTGAGTTATGTATTTCAATATTTTACCTTGTATATAGGTCAATAAATACAGAGAAACGAGCATGTACGCAAATCATTTCAAATTTTTGTAACATACAAAATAATTCAAATATTTATCGTCAGACTGCCGCATGCAACGCATAAAAATCCATCAAATAAACGATGCCAATTTTTGCTTCCGCGTAAATTGAGTAATTTAATAAAAATCTATTCCAACATTTAGTGCGCCAATCGCACTTTGAAATATAGGACAAACATAGCGCTATACAAAGCAGTCTTGCAATACAACAAAAATGAAGAACAAGCAACTGCTTTCAGCGGAAAACAAAAGTAGGTAATATTAATGGGTAATAGGTTGCAACTATGGTCCTGGTAAACTTATATGTTTTTTTTTATTTAACTCCTCCTGTGTGGGGACGTACTAATAGGACCCCTAATGTATGGTTAACACTGACTTAGCGACTGTCACACGAGATTAACGAGAATTATGTACTTTAAATGCAGATTTGTTTGGACCATAGGTGTACGGTTTTACCAATACTGAATTATACGTGACACCTATTAGTTACTAAGTTTATGCATCATAGTAGGTAGGTATACCTAGGTATGCTGACTATGCTGTGCAAAATCGAATGCTGAGTAAGTTATGTTCAATTGACCTGCCAAACGAAGTCACGGACACCGGGTTTTGCCACTGGGAATTATGCGCAGGATATTTTGCGACTGTTTGGTAGTCTACCTAATTGGAAGGTGTAAAAATAAGTATTTTTTATTCAACAATACGCGGTGTTAATTTGAATGCGTGCCATAGCTTCAGGGTAGGTTAAGTATCGATTAGGGATGCCGTAGAAAATATTGAAAAAATCCCAAACACATTTTTTTTTCTGTTTTAGTCAAACATTTTTTTTGAAAAATAAATTTTTGACACTGTTGTTGTTTAGAGAGTGCCCATACAGGTACTTTTGTCTAAACAACTTAGAGATTGAACGAATTTCGGCTGAGTGAGATATAGGCATTTGAATCAAATGTCAGCCAAGTACAAAAAAATAGTGACTGGGATTTTATTTAATATATTTTACGGCATCCTTTATCGATACTAAACCTACCCTGAACTGCCCTGAAGCTATGGCACGCATTTAAATTAACACCCTGTATATTTATCCTAAAATTTAGGATGGGATTCCGCATTCACCTATGCTATGCAAAATCGAATGTTGAGTTTTTGTGTAGTGCACGTTCGTTCAAATGACCTGCAATACAGAGTCATGGGCACTGGTTTTGCCATCGTGCACAATATTACTACATTTGCGCAGGTATTATGCGTCTGTTCTGGTAGTCTACAAGTCTACATAATAAAGGACAGTGTAACGAAAACTTTGCAGGCATGCTCTGACTATAAAACTGAATAACTTTTCTCCATGAAACCTATCATGGTGGTAAAGGAATAAAAATTTTTTGGCTTCCCATACAAATTCAGTCGTAAATTTCGTATAGGAGGCCGGAAATTTTTTCTCGTTTACCAACATTGTCTCCATAGTAAAAGTTGTTCAGTTTCATGGTCTGATCATGCCAGCAAAGTTTTCGGTACACCGTCCTTTACACCCTGTATTTGCCAAGAATAGGTACATCAAAAAGCAAGACCAGCGTTCCACATTCACTATGCTGTTCAAAATTGAATGCTAACCATGTTCGTTCACGATCACCGGGAGCTGGGAACATTTGCATTTTAGCCACGTTTTGGTTGCACTAAATCAAAGTTCAGATATTGCACTAAATCATTGTCACTGATATTGCTAAAACTTTATCTCATAAAGCCATAATGCATGTCACACAGCAGCACAAAAAAAATAATAGTTTTGCACACCTACTTAGTTCAAAATATGCCTCTCTACCTACAATAAAACGCCATGAACCAAAAAGTTTAGCAAACTTTCCCAAAGGTTGGAATATCCCATCACAAATCTAACTATTTTATAAGCAGAACACGTTTTCAAACTAAAACCAATAAACGTGGGACACTGTAGTAGGTAGGTATAGGGACGTAGTACGTCAACTTTAAACATAAGGCGAGATTAGGTTAAAACTAACTTTTAAATGTTGTGATCAAAAGAAAAGAGCCAGAACTAAAACCTAAGCTACCAAAACTCTACATTCCATCTCTATATTCAGAAAACGCATAAAAGTGAAACTTTACTGACCTACACCATAGGCCCCATCATCGCACGCCATAGTACCATTCCCACCACAGTGGTTCCCCCACTAACTTTCGTACTAGTAATATCATTTCTTACGCAAGAAGACCTCGCCAAAGAAAAATCTTTAACTTAAATCCAGTCTTACTTGATCCTCATTCCAATATTTTCTCTAAGACTTTGCGGGTCTACTCTTTTCGGGCAATTGACTAGCACGCTTATAGGAAGACCAGAAGAACTTGAGCTCTAAATTACCATAGAAACTATGTACTCACGTGTCAAGTACTTTGGTTAATGGTCTGGAACGAAGGCAGTGCCTACTTGGTTAAGTTACAACATTGTGTGAACGCTTTTTAGCGAGTTGTTTGAAACTTATGCTTGGAATGCTACTATAAGGCATGGTATTTTGTTTCTTATTTGCAGAGAGATTTAGGAGTGGGTTGATTGGCAGTAGATGTAATATACCGTAAAATATTTTACGAATTAGGGACTGTGTTTGTTAATAAAGGTTTGTTACCTACCTACGGAGTTCATTCATTGAAATTTATCTGGCTGCTACAAAAACAAGATACCTACGTATCCCACATTTGTACAAGGGTATTATAGGTACTGAACCATTTTTGTTATGGAACCAATGATAAAAACGAGATACAGAAATTTGTTTTTCCCATAATGTTATACACTGCCCATCAGAAAAATCGAGACGCTTTGCAACTGTACGTTTTGTACGGATCACATTATCTGAGAAATATGTTTATTTTGGAATTAATATCTAATGTCGTTTAATAGTGAATATTACGAGGTTTCTAAATCATAATATCAACCTTCTTTATTCAACTTTCAGTTTCATATATTTAAGATTTTGTTCAACTATGAAAACGAAGGTGTCTCGATTTTTTTGATGGGGAGTATATTTTATTCGTGTTCACCATTGGTTTCATAATGAAAATTGTTCAGTACGATGCCCTAAACAATGTATCAAATTAAATGCATTTCGTCCAATTAGAAAGTAGCACCTGCTTTTAAATATGTTTTCCCATCTTCAGTAGGAACGTAATTAAGAGGTTTCAAAGAGCGATCGTAAGAAAAAGAAGTCAAAGGAAATTCATTTTCTGCTTCAGAAAGACTAATCAACCTTAATCGTTGCTCAATTTGGGTAGGCACCTCCCTATTGCGATTCCAGACCTCTAAATTAAAGGAACTCTAGCATTTTGGGCCCAGCATGGGGGCTGACCTAATTAAACTTTATTTGCGTTGTTATAAAGTTTACAAGTAGTTTTAACAAGCAGATGTATTAAAAATAAAAACCCGACTGCGTTAATTTTAAAGTTGTATTTTGTGATAAAAATCCGCTATCTTGAATTTATGAATTGTTAATGTAGGGTCAGTGTCACTCACGCTGCTGAAGCAAATCTAACGACACCTCACACATCAAGATCCACCCAGCCGTTTGGGCTGTAGCCGGCGAAATAGAATTTTTGGATTCATAAATAGGTACATACATACAAATATACCTACTCTCGAAAAACTTAACCCTCCTGAGACAGCCGGGTAAAAAGAGATCAAAATATCGAAGTATAAATTAACTTTTAAATTAGCGCTGTCGCTTTCAGTAAAATGAATTTAAAAAAGAACAGGAGATGATCACGCCTAAAATTTGTCTTCTAATTTGACGTAAAATGCGCGTTATCTGTCAGAGTAAGGCGACGGTAAAAACAATGGCGACTGAATTGACTAAAAATTGCAAGAACCTGTTGACATGATTTAATCATGACAGGACTTAGGTAGACATCTCATCCGTATCATAAACTATTTGACGAAAAGTGACAACACTAATTTAAGGTAAGTTAGGAGAATTAATTTTGACCTTAAAGTTTGACAAGATTATTCAACGGGTCGTTCCTCGGTTATTAAAGGATCGTACCAGATCGTACCATACTATAACAGCCACAACGGTTCACTGCTGGACAATGGGCCTTCCTCTATCTATTGCCATACTCACCACGCTTGGCAGGCGGATTGCCGAGCGCAGTGCACGATGTTGCATTAACAGGGAACGCTGCTGCCCATTCCCTAGATGATTATCCCTTAGTCACCATTTACGACACCCCGGGTAGAGTCGGGGTGATGCTACTAAGCCGGAATCACATGGTTGAAGGTTCGCATTTGATCTTTCTTATTTTACGGGAAATTGCGTAGAAAAGTTGTCAGTGCCAGACCGAAAAATTGAATTTATGTATGATTCAATTCTTAACTTTCATCGTTGGTAGCTACGTAGTTAATGGATTTTTAATCGACGCTTAATATCTTTTGACATTTTCCCTTTATAAAGTAGCCAGGCATAAACAGATTCCTTAGTAGGTATACCTACAAGGTGTATACAGACTGTTTAGGTAAAAAGTACGGAAAGTTTCGAAAAGTTTTGATACCTAT